GTGCACATGCTTAAAGGCTTTTGCAAAAGTAGGATATGCGTACGCATGGCTTAAAGCCTATGTGTGTGCATGCGAAAAAGCTACCCATCCATCCAATTTTATCTCATTTTGATTTCACATTGGGTTTTCCTTTTCTCAATGGAATATATGCTCAATTCTCGCTTCCATTATAATTTCTGAACAAAATATAACAATCCTCAGCTTGTTTAAAACTATATAGATCGTATTTATAAACTATAAATACTTATGGATAAGGTTTGAATACCTTTCGATTTGAATTTAACCATAATGTAATTCCCACAAAGTATCATCAAAATTCTAAGTAACATGATAGCTTTGAACCAATTATTCTTTGTGATGATACCAGTGAAAATACACACACATGTAATGTGTTTACAATTCCTCAAACTCCCTTAACAGTATAATGGCTTTGCGTTTATCCTATTCATTGAACTTTTAATAGAGAAATTCCAACTCTCTATCAAAGCTGCACCATCTCAAAGTTCACCTGCGTAAAGTTTTTGCAGTATCTTTGTTACTTTTAAATATACTTATATTTAGTATAGAACTTCATTAAGAGCTTAAATATCTAACCCTCCTTTAAATAACAACCAACATTATTTAGAATGTGACTCTTTGCAGATAAAATAATACTAAAACTATCCACATGTTAACTGAACTTTATTGAAAGTTTCCACTAGGTCACTGAACTTTAAAAACTACGTGGTTACTCACTGTACTTTCGAAACTGCAACCCCATCCATCACTGAACTTTAAAAATCACCACATTCGTCACTGAACTTTGCAAAAAGTTTCCCAAATGGTCATTGATTCAGTGACCATTTGGGAAACATTTTGTAAAGTTCAGTGACCCCGTAGAAATCTTTTGCAAAGTTCAGTGATGGATGGTGTTGCAGTTTCGAAAATTCAATGACTAACCATGTAGTTTTTAAAGTTTAGTCATCTGGTGGAAACTTTCAGTAAAGTTCAGTGACCATTGGGGTAATTAACCCCTTATTGAATGACTTGTTGGTTTACCCTTTGAGCCCATAGATTACTGTTAGAATAATGTTATTTATCATTATAATGATAGAATATTGGTGATATAACAGTCTATGTGAAATAATGGGATTGGACAGTTCAATTTTTATTAAAAAAAAAAAGAAGGGGAAGAGTTAGAGAAAAAAATGTGAGCAATAATGGGAGGTCACATTATTGATGTTCCATCATCATGATAATAAATAGCATTACTCTTACTGTTAATGACATGTAGAGTTGTCATTATTGGTGGATATTTTTAATTTAGAATTTTAACCCTTTCATTGGTAGGTAAAGAAGGTTGATTCTTTAGAAAAAAAGTTGCGATGTCCTTTAGAAGAAATTAGGGAAAACTTTTGTTGCTCTTTTTATATGAAACTGCTTATTTTGCTTTAATTTATTTAGGATCATACTTCTTAACTTACTCAACATTTAATTCTTCACATACACGTATTAACTAATTTTGTTTGTTAACAATACGATTCATCAAATACAAAATTTTATTCCATCAATTTTTTGCAACAAAATAAGGAATAAGGGATTACGGTCATGACTTTTCGTTGTACAAGTATTTCGTGCATAGTTATAGTTGTTTTTGTCATGATATCAAATTTCTTGTGGGTGGGTCTGAACTCACCTTTTGTGGTTGATTTTTTGAATTTGGGATTTAGTTTTTGTTTTTCATTGGAGGAATGGACATCACCTTTGATTTTGGAATTTCAATATAGGCGAAAGAAAACCGCCGTTTAGCTTATTACATGCGGGAAGAGGCTCGCTTCTTGTCTTTCTCGTATTTCTCATTTTGCTCGCTATTACAGCCTTATTTTAGGTCGAGCCTTGGCTCGATTGTTTCAATTTTCATGCTTCCTCTAGTACTTATGAAATCATACTTACTAGCATGTAGGTTTCTCAACTTACCCTTCAGACACTTGCTTTCTGAAATCAGGATTTTCTAGCACATTCTTTTTTTTTTTTTTACCATTAGTGCATTGATTCACTTTTTGTTCAGTCCACTTGCCAGAGTGACTTGTCCTTTTAAACGGATATATTTCCATCGAAGCCACACTAAAGTTCAACCAAAGGCATCACGGGATGATTAACATCTAGATTAACCTACATTTGGTCAAAAGCATTTCTAAAGAGTATTCGTAAGACTTATTATCCTCTAATAAATGGTTAAAGTCTTTGCGAGCTATCAGGGTTGGCATCACCATCATAATAAGGATTTATAATTCCATGTTCATCATCATTATTTAAATATAATTGGAGGAGATGCAAATTTTTTTAAATAAGATTACCTTAAATCCAAAAAATTGTTAATGTGGGCACCTTAGCTTCTTGGGTATATCGCCTTTGTACGTTCCTTCTTTCTCCTCATAAGGGTCCTCAATTATACTAGTGATTTTTCTTACCGAGGGTCGAGAATTTGGGACATTAATTAATGTCTGCGACGTCTTTGCATGCCTTTGTTTTTATCATTTTTCTTACCTTTTGGCTGGGAATATAAACCTCCAATTTTCAAGTACTTTATGCGTGCTTCTCTACTAGCTTCACTACCTCACCATCTTAAGTACCTCGAAGCATTCATTCATATCATGATTTATAGCGTGATGGATTCTGTAGAACTTCGCCTTCTATTTTTCAGGGGATGGATATGTTCTTCTTAAAATGCAGAGAGCATGTGCATCTTGCTCTTGGGCTCGTTGAAATGAAGGCATTGTACTTTTGGCCATCTAGATGCATATACTAAAGCTTTTCATTTGAATATTCCCGTGCAACCTTGCTCCAACTTCCCTTGGTTTTCAAGTATATCCTGTGTTTGGATCTCATTCCATGTTAGGTCTATTAATTGGTGGAAAGAATATGGATTTCTTTTCTTGATATCTCGTGAGAAGGAAGTTTTTGTTGACAAGTCATCCCATAAGGCGCCCCTGGCTTCTTCGTCCGATATGTCTTTGTTGAAAACTATTTCAACTCTAAACCGTGTGAAATAATTCTTGAGGGACTCTCCTTCTAGAGTCTGTTCTCTTTTGTTTTTAATGAATGTTTCTATACTGCAGGTTGGTCTCCATATTTTCCATACAGATTATTGTTGTAGGGACTACAAAGCTTCCTGTTATTCGATCTTCATGATAGTTTCCCTTATCATACTTCATGTCACAAACGGTCAGCTCATTTGCGAGTCTTTTCAAGGAGTTGTTCGTTCGCCACTCCTTCCACTTCCTCTCTGGCATACTAATGTAGGTTTCTGATACATGTGAGTTGGTGTTGTTCCCAGGGAAAAAGCTAGCAAATAGGTTTCATTTCACCCTCGCCAGCTTCACCTTACAAACTCACCCTGAGATTTTCAAGATGTTAGTGCCTTAAGGTTTTCTGCCATTTCCAGTGTAGTCTCTGCTGTTGACATCTTTTTCCGTAAGCGACATCGTTGAACGAGCGAAATGTCAATGTATAATGTTGCCGGTGTATCTTTCCATCATCGTTTTGTATTTGCATCACTGTCTATCGGATCGTCGCTATGCTCTTCCATTCCAATTTCCAGCACTCTCTTCCACTTGGCTCATTGTTTGTTGATTTTTCAAGTTTGATGGATGAATTCGTGGTTTTCTTTACTCAAGTTTTCCACATATGGTTCCAATTTGTTGATGCTAAAATTACAATCAACAAATTTCTCACCTAGCCAGATTTTTTTCTTTCTAAACTCACTAGCTTTGATATTCAAACTAGAACAAATGGTGAAATGGCATTTGGGAGAGAGATATTTGAATTTGAATACCCTATTTTTCTTAGGCGGTAGTATTTATAGATTTCCTAAGGGGTTTGGATAATTCTAAAAAATGACAGGTGGTGATTGTTTAGTAGTGATTTGATAACTGATTATGTTATATATTCACATGCTATTCATTGGTTTAGGAATCATGCTTTTCAAATTTACCCATGTATGTTTATATAATGATTTCCATGACCGTAAAATGAGGGATAGTTTGCACAGTTTCGTTTGCAAGCCTTCTATGTTTTAGCTGTCTTCTCACTCTTACACTTCACCTAGGGGTTTGAATTCGCATGATAGATTTCTCGGTTCAAAATTAGAAGTACAAATTATTACGCTTGTCCGATATATTAGTCATTCTTATTGAGATGTTCGAGTCTATTTGTTTTGTTGCTTCTATAATTTTCTCCAACTGTAAATTCAAATAAGATTTGATAGTCTAGATATCATTTTTCTCATATACTTTTCTTTGCTCTTGATAGAAGTCTTAAAGCAGAAGCAGTTGTCAAAATTATCAAATGCACTTCATCATTAGTGTACAAAGGGTTTCAAGGAAACTCATTTCACTACTGCTTGGAGCACAGATACTGTGTTAAATATGATGCATTCAACTTGAAACGGAAGCTTTAGATTGTGAATCGGATTACGAATATATATTTGTTCTCAAATTGCTCAATATATCTATATTTAGCACTACAAGAATGATTATTGGTATTTCCAATATCTCCATACAGTATACATGGATGTATATAGCCATTCAATATAATGCACATCGGATTACAAATATATATTTATTCTCAAATTGCTCAATATACCTGTATTTAGCACTGCAAGAATGATTATTGGTATTTCCAATATCGCAATACAGTATACATGGATGTATATAACCATTAAATCTAATGCACACGTAAGTCCATGTTTGGTTCGCAATACTTATCACGAACTACATAGTATAATGATGAAAGTTCTAGCTTTTTTCCCTAATAATGTTCCGTGATATTCAAACCCTCGCCAAACTTGTGAGATTACATATAAGAATGCTACTAAAACACATTTACACATACAGAAGCTTGGAAGTAGTGAAAAGCTCCCACGAAAGTATCTTAGTCCGATTTCGTGTGTAGAATTCCTTCCAGATAAGTTGTTCTTGTTCTTGAGAAATTCTACGTGGAATTTCTTAAATTTCTTTTACTTATGAGAAGAATTCATAGTCCTTTGCTTGGAGAATAATCTGCCTTAATCCTCCAATAGGTGCGACAATCATCAAAATAACTCCAAGAACAATACAAATCTGAAATCCATATTGAGATTGAACATGTCAGACTTCTTGTTTTTACAGCAAAAATTCAAGAAGATTGAGATTCTAGATTTTGCGCTTACCCAATTAGCAATCCAAGATAGACTGAATTTTCTTGGTTTGTAGATGGCTAACCACATTATACAAGGAAGCTGCAAGAATGTGAAGAAACAGATGTTATACAGTCAACAATGAAATCCAGATACGTACTATAAGACATTGATGACATGTTTGGTATATTAGATTTAACAAGATAACTAACAAGTTTGTCATATCACCGTCTATTTCAGTCCAGTGTATGAAGTATGTCTTCTTAAAATGTTTGACATAACATTGAACAATATAGTGTAGAATTAAAGAATAAGAATAAGTCAAAATCTTATTTATTATCTTGTGCGATTCTGAGTCGAGTATACCAAAAATGCCCTAAAAGTTTACTTACAAAGTATGTGGTTGGTGCAAAAGCAAATCCGCCAAAAAACCCAAGAAGCCCACCAAAGAAAGGGAAGACGATTCCAACAAACATAGTAAACGCTGCAATCAAAGATATGTATATAAATTTGTGATAAAGGTGATACATTAGAACTGCATATCAGTATAAAATAGGGTTTGTAGAAAAGGAAGTTTACATACCAACATAAATATTCCTTGTAACAAATCGCAACATCCAACTAGGCCTGAAATTTAGTTTCTTTACTAGTACAGTTTCAATCATATCAAAAACTGGCATTGCATAAATCTGCAAGAACGAAAATCAAACAGAGTTATACATTTATTTATAAGATAAGACAAAGAAATAGTTGAAAGAAAGAAAGTTGGGCTGTGTACCTGATAGCTCCCAATGACATGAACCACGACAAACAAGTTAGCCATGGCGATTAGCCATACAGGTCTTTCTAACGAGATAAGAATGTTGTCTTCAACTTTATTCCCAAACATCCAATACCCGATTAGTGCAACAGGGAAATAGCACAATGCAACGACTATATAAGCAACAATCACTCCCCTCCACATAGGTCCCTTAGATGGCTTCTCTGGTGTAGAAGGAATCGTAGCTTGAATTTCCAACACCACATTATGACCGGCATAAGCAAAAGCTACATCACCCAAGGCACTGAAGAAGTTGAAAATAGTTCCTGCCGTGGTCGTAGCCTTGTAACCATATTGCACGTCTGGTTGAACACCCTTGTCGATTGACGCACCCCAAGCTATAGTTGAATAACTTCATGATGCAGCATCAGTGCATTAGGATTCCAAAATTTATATAAAATGTAAAATAAAAATAAGCAAATATGTCGAAAAGATTGAAAATAAAAAATATCAAACACGATTGAAAAAGCATAAAGGGAGACAGTTCTCTGAATCCCGCATCAGCTAGGACCTTTAAAACTTATAACTAGGTTAAATATTGTACTAATAATCTGAAATCTATCTTTGGATTTTGTTAATTTTGAGTTTTATGTCCATTTCTTTATTCTGAATAATAATTGTATCAAGCTATTGTAGTTAAAAAATAATAGACGATTTTCAAGATACCACTGCTATTATTACAAAGAAATGCATATAATTCACATATGAAAAAGGGTGTTGTCTACCTCAAGGACATAACGGCTGCTGCCAAAGATACACCGGAGATTGCATTGAAATTGGGAAGATGAGACAGCACAAAGTGGGCTGAGGCGAATATCATGATGAAATAGGTAAGCTTAATATTTTTGCAATCTTTGCATACTAAATCATGGAATTTCTGCAAAGATCTCCCTCCTGTAACCATGTAAACTATGTCGACCCCAACTTCAACAATTAGTTGCTGAGGTACGACAATGTACAGACCAAGTTTTTCACCAAATGCATGTTGTCCGAGTTCATGGTATCTGTCAAAACGTTTTCCAGGAACCATTTCATGCATTTCAACCATTTGCCATAGAGTGTATAAAGTGACAATCCAAGATATAATAAGCACTGTCACTCCAGGGCCCCTGAAAATATAAGCAAATCATTTGGCATTGAGTAGTTATTTGACTTGTTATGTAATGGATCAAACTCCAACCTTACTTTCGAGAGTAATAATAATAGACAATGAGCAAAGATCATACATATTTATAGAGGTTCGCTTTCGATGTGAGATCTACATCTACTCACCAAGTTTTCAGATGAAGAATACAAGATTTTTTCACATCTCTCTAGCACAATACGACCCCCTAATAAATCCTTCAGGGATATTGCCTATTGGTGTGGCTGATGCTGATATGCCAATATAACCCCATAGATTATATTAGCCTCCACGCAGTCCAACATGGTGAACTTTCTTTCATTCAATTTGGTATAATTCAATTCACAATAAAACAAGTTGATTTTAACCCAAATCTTAGCTGACACACATTCATAAAAATTTCCCGTATTGAAGATGTAAATGAATAAACTTATTTCCACACTTTAATAATTTAAACTTTTTGACATATGGTCTGTTACATATAACATAGCAATTTTGTCAATATTTAAACACATTAAATTTTACGCTGTTAAGTTGTAAACCTCGAAAATAAAATGTACATACCATCCTAGTTCTGCCATGGCATAAGGTAGACTGAGAACTCCAGCTCCAACCATTGCAGTAACATTGTGGAAAGCTGAGTACCACCATTTTGCATTCCTCGACGAAGTAATTGGCAGCCATTCGTCTATCGCCTTCTGTTTTGCTGTTCGTTGATCGACCTAGAATTCAGTATATTCAATCAATTAAGGTGTTTATCGTACTGTTTTTTACTGCATTTCTTGTTTAATTATGTAAGATTTTAAGAAGATGAATCCAGCCTCAATGTCAAGACTTCCTCAAATAATCTGCCTGGCATTATATCCCATTACAGAGGTGTCTGAATTGTTACAAGTGCGTAAGTAGAACTCGCCTTTAAAGTCGACTCATAGCCCATTATTATAGGACCATTTGCATAGTGTATAAAAATATGGATTTTGCTATATGAACATAAAAAAATGTACGGTTATCGAAAATGATGTAGCGGGAAAAGATTGGATAAAAAAGTTTATTGTATTTTAAATTGGCAAATAGCAGTGTGTGCGATAATATACATGAATTCTGTGCAAATTAGCCAAAAATAAATGGTTTCTAATTCACTGACCACACACGGATTGACGGTCAGAATTAAGATAAGGAAAAAGCATTTAACATCAAATCTACCAATGAAAATTAAAGTCAATCCTGGCCAAAATTTAGGTGAAATATGACAGCCACGTTGAAATCCACATGCTAGAAAATTCAATGATCCATAAATTTCGGCACCTCCTTACTATTTGAACCCATTACAGCTGTAATATATCAACTACCGATAATTAAGAAAAATTATTTATTTTAAACAATAAGATAAAATTTAGTCCCTGTTTTGTAAAGGAAAAAAATCGGACTTTTTGCAGATTTTGATAAAAACTAATGAAATGTGTGGTTAAAATTCATTGTTGACTTTGACTCAAATTTTAATAAAAAATTTTAACAGTACCAAACAGGAACTTAATTTGAAAGAAGTAACTTTTTATTTAAAAATGAAGAAAAGTAATACTATCAAATAATTTTTACTTTTTTTTTTTTTTTTTTTGAACTTCATTACAACGTACTTGGGACGTCTTTGCCAAGAAAATTAAAAGGTCTCATCGTGCTAATAGAAAGCTAGGTGCGGTCCATAATTCAAAAATAGACTTGCCTGTTGCCGTGTGTAGAACGTCATCATTCAAGTTAGGGCCCTGTTTGGGAGGGATTTAGATTTTTCTACAGTAAATAAATTCTCATTTTCAACCCCACATTCTTCATTAAAATAATATTTTTCATCACATCAATAATTTTTTCTTCTTTTTCAACCACACATTCTTGATGATATTTTCAGATATTCAGTGCTATATGCACGTGGGTGAGGTGGGGTCACGAGTCTTGAACGTCATCATTCAAGTTAGGGCCCTGTTTGGGAGGGATTTAGATTTTTCTACAGTAAATAAATTCTCATTTTCAACCCCACATTCTTCATTAAAATAATATTTTTCATCACATCAATAATTTTTTCTTCTTTTTCAACCGCATATTTCTCATCATATCACTATTCAAAATCAATTCTTCCCCCAAAAATCTCTCCCAAACAAGCTCTAGATATTGACCAATTGACTAGGCTTGCACTCTATTTTTATTTAGCCCATTTTAGATTTAATTATAAAAGTGAATTAAAATTTAAGTCGAAAATTAACTTTCATTACACATTTTATGGATCCCATTATGTTTTAGCCACACATTTCATCAATTTTTATCAGTATCTATTAAATATGATTTTTATCAAAATAAATTTTTATCTCTTTTTTTCAACCACACATTTTTCAATAAAATAATATTATACGCAAACCCAAATTTTTACCTTATTTTTTAACCACACATTATCCATTAATTTGCTATTCTAAAATATATTTGTAGCCAAAAATAGGCTCAAACAGGCACATAAACTGTGTGAAAATCAAAATATTACATGATGAACAAGGACAAAATGTGTGTGTGTGTGTGTTAATTCTAATTTCTTACCAGGAATCATGATGAACAAGGACAAAGTAAAGTCATTGCTTATCTACTCGAACTGAGACGAGTTTCAGAAAGAAGGAACAAGAATTGAATATACCATTTATTTATGAGTATTGTTATTGAGATGCAATCCCAGTTTAGGCCATTGAATGATTAGTGAAATTTAATGAGTCATTTGATTTCACCTTTCATGTATCTTATCATTTAATGCCACTTAAATTGAATTACAATCCCAGTGGGACCGCGTAACATTATTCTCTTTATTCACTGCTATAAAATGCATGTTGGAGACAAAAAAACACACAGTATATTTATATATATATTATATAAAGAGCGAAGGTTAAAGAATGGAGAGGGTTTACGTACTTCTTTTGAGTAGTCTGGAGCAACTGCTTGAGTTCCCATGGCTCTGAATTCTACACAAATGATCTCTTCACTAACGACGGCTTATATAGACGGACGCCGAGAGAGAGAGATCTGAATCCCAGAATTCTACCCAAATGGTCTCGTCACTTACCACGGCTTGTATAGACGCGGAGAGAGAGAGAGAGAGAAGGTGATGATTTTGTTTTGACTTGAGACAATGAATCTCAAGTAAACGAATCGACAGATATGTAATGAGCTGTAGTCTTCCAGGAAAATTCCTAGAAATTCTACACCCAATTGCCAATTGCAAATCAGAGAAATTTTAGACTTAACTTTGGAAGGGAAATGACCCGACAAGGTAGTTATCATACATTAAAGACACTTGGTTCACATTAAGTTTCACATTCCCCTCACATGGTGGTTGGCCCCGCAATGTGAGGGAGATGTAAAACTTAATGTGAACCAAGTGTGTACATTTAGTATGGTTCAATTATCATATATAACATACATTTAGTATTAATGATTTGATATATGAGACAATAAAAAATTACCTTAATGCATCAAATTACTAACCGTCATATGTATGTAACGTATGACGACAACGATAGTAAACAACTGCAAATAATATTGCTCTCAATAAAAATAAGAATTATTTATTATGATTGAACAAAATTGAACCGAAAAATTATATGTAGTAAAATTTATCAAGAATTTGTTTACTTTTCACTAAGGAATTAGATAGCTTTAAACAAGTTCTATTTACTGAAATTTTTCGATGGCAAATTAAGATGTTATCCATGAAGTGACTCGAACAAATTTGGTTTGCGTTTACATAAAAAAATATATAAGCCGTGTTTGAGCTCCATAGTCGAAAAAAAATTATTTTTCTACAAACTCATTTCCGATCACATATTTTTTTAATAAAATAATGTTACATGTAAACTGAATTTTTTTTCTACTTTTTAACAACACATTATTCAAAAAAATAAATAAATAAATTCATAGTTCAAAACTCATCTTTTCTATAAAATGGACTCAAACGAGGACTAAATGTGTTTCCTTGTGTTAGAATAATGTCTGGTGTCTATTTTGGATGTTTCAAACATTAAAAATAAAATCAATACTATTCAGATTGTCTATAAAGAAGAATTAGTTGATAATTTTTATTATTTTTAAAGAAATCTATATTGAGCGTCATGATTTCTGTAACTATATACAGTTCGATGATAAATACAAAAAGATATTATTTCGATATAGTTGTCCGTTTTAAAAACCTAAAACTGAATCCCAATAAAATTGTAATTTAATGCGCTCCAACTTCACTTCATAAAAATTGTGTACGAATTTAGTTTTTTCACCGAATAAAAGTTAGAGTAATGCTACTTGCAGTCGTTCACTGCAGCAGTCCCATATGTGGCACACACATGGCATGTAATTTATTTGATGTATTAATGTGGTAGTTTTTAATCACATTTAATGCATTAAATACACACTGACATGTGTACGTCATATAGAACGACTGTTGCAGTGAGCCACTGCAAGTGACATTATTCTAAAAGTTATGGGCCATCTCTTGCTCAAACACATGGTTTGTACTCAACCTTTCTCGTGTGCATTATTGTATTTTTACACACCAAAATTGACAACTTGGAAGATGGCAAAGTTGACTTGAGATCCCCACTTTACAAGTCAATCTTGGAATATCTTTAGCTTTTTCATTTAGAATTGTGCAATATAGTCAAACGTAGGCTGATATTAGGACCAAAATACAAATTCAAAAGTTATGTTCATACGTAACGTAAGTGGATGAGTGTGGGACTTGTCTTTCGTCACCCATTATTTAAGTTGAAACTTCTCACTCCCTTCAATAACAACGTGCCATATCCTCCGTTTTGATAATTTCTCAAGCAACGAAAGACGACTTACAATGACTATGCTTATTAATTTAATACTTTTCAATGAACAATCTAATAGACAATATTCAATAGTAAATAATTTTGAGGAATATGATAAACTGTGTTTAAATTTCTTTTCTTCGCCAGCCATATCATTTATTATCCATTTCAATCAAATCCAATCCACTGAATTAAATATAAAAATATTTTATTAGTTGAACGATTGACTTTGAGCATTCTTATTCAACCTCCGTATTTTTATCTTAGTCCTTGTTTGAATCACATTAAAATTTTTATTTTTATTTTTCTACTTATTTTTAACCACATATTCTTCAGTAAAATAATATTTTTCATTCCATGAATAATTCTTTCTTCTTTTTCAACCACACATTCTGCATCAATCTACTATTCCAAAATACATTCTTTCAAAATAATGTGGCTCAAACACACCCTCAATACTATTTAGGCATAGACATTTTAATCGAAATCGAAAAAGAACCTCCAACGGTTCCAAATAAAAAATAAGTTAGGAACTGCAACCAAGAATTGAGAATCGACTAGGCTCGGATCGATTCTTGGTTCCTAAACCAAAACTGTGAAAATCCAAATGTAATCGATATTTTATATAACTTTTTACAATTTACAAACTGAGTAAAAAAAAAATAAAAACCTAAAAACTCTAGTTTGATTAGTAATTTATCTAAAACACTAAACTCTTAACTCTTAAGAAATTGTCATTGACTCATACTATTTTGCCTCTCACCCCACTTCAGATTGTTACATTTCAGATTCGAGTCATATTTGAACGTGCATATTTTGAAATACTCTAGCAGTTCCTTAAAAGTAATAATTGATACCAATTTGTTGAGAGCATTGGATAAGTTTCAAACGGATTAAAGAAAATAAAATTTAGAATAATTTAAGAGAAGAAAAATGTACTCTCAAAACTTAATTTCTATGATCCAAATTAGTTTTTTATAAGTAATATTTGATACAAATTTGTTTGGAGTATTTGATCGTCTCAAACAAACTAAAGAAAGTAAAATTTATGACCGAAATTTAACTTCTATGGTTCAAATTTTTTTTATATGACGAAATACTATTAATGAACAACATTTTTTATATTACATTTGGTACATAGAATTAATTGCTAATTCATTAATTTAAACACTCGTTGAAATTTCTAGATACATGAATAGAAATAAATTCATTTATAATAATTCTAGATTCATGCAGATCAAAATTCATCAAGTTAAGAATCGTTGAGTCTAGTTGAATGTTAATGTTAATTAATTGATAATTAATAACACGAAATTCATACACGACAGGGATTTTCTAGTATTTATTACATATTAAAAAGGAAAAATAAGGTATTCTTAAAATAATTGAATTGTAATAAAGTTAAAATCATCCAAAAAATTATTTTTACTTGATGTGATATTTAATATAGTATAGATTAGTACATGTTAATCTTTTTAATGGGCTTTCTATGAATCAAAAGTCTAAGTTAGAGTTGTAGTGTAGTTCGTGAATCAAATCGTTCATTCTTTGAAATTCGAGTTTTTTGTTTCTATGCATTATTTACAAACTTAAGTATTTCTTTTTATAACTCCTGGTAATTGAATTTGATATATTCATAGCTTGGATTGTGGCGTACTTTTTCGTTATCTCGAGTTCATAATTCTCTTTTAAAATATATTTTTTTTCCTTTTTAATCAAACATTAAATACATGGATTGCAATTTCTTAATATTATATATTTATGTATTTAGTTAATATTTTTTTTACATCAAATCATTTTAAAAGTAGAAGAATTTAAATATTGTTTATAATTAAATTATAGGTTTAACATTCTTCATTTATGAATGAAGTAAGATTTTTTAAGAAAAAATCATTCTTCTCAAATTGTATTTTAATTTTTGATGTTTTAAATTTTCCATCTTCTTTATTTTTAATCTCCACTATTTTTAGTCATGTAGCTAAATTCCTTATTAGCTTATCGAAGATTTCTTAGTTTGATTTTCTTCCTTACACAAATATTATCGAGTAGTGACGTATTATGTATATGCATCAAAAGAGTCGAATATGAAGATTTTTATTCAATATATATTATGTGTAGTACCGAATTGGAATTGGATTTGCAAACCGAATCGACGGTTTGAGTTTGGATTTGGTTTAAATAATTTTAAAAATCCGAAATGTTTCATTTATTTCAATACTTGAAATAT